GAGTATTGCCAAACAGTTAAATAAGTTAAAAACAAGCTTTTAAGTCAGTTTGACCAGCTTTTAAGCTGAGCCAAACAGGCTCTTTTTTACCTATTTTTATTTAATATTAATAAAATTATATAATATATTTCAATAAAACGAAATAATTATATAAAATAAAATATTAAAAATCAAATCAAAATATCAAAAAATATAAATTATATATCGAATATCGAATCAAAAATCAAAAATCAAAATAATTTAATTCAATTTTTCAATTTCTTGATGTTTATACTCAACCATAGGGGAGAGAGAAGGGAAAAGTGTTCTAAAATAAGATGAAGAGTCTGTTTGGCTCAGCTTAAAAGCTGGTCAAAACTGACTTAAAAGCTGGTTTTTGACTTATTTAACTGTTTGGCAATACTCAAAATAGCTTATTTTAAGTTAAGAAAAACTTATTTTAAGCCAAAAATTAAAAGTTGGGGTAGGGGTGCTTTTTTATTTTTAGCTTATAAGCTGTTTTAAGTTGACCACATTTTTATGTTTTTTCCCTTAATATTTGTATACAATCTCCAAATTACCCATATAACCCTAACATCTGTCATATTAGTTAAAATCCTCATTTAATTCCCTTACCTTTGTGGGGTTGGGAATCAAATAGTTCCTTCGTTCGGTATTGTTTGTCATGGTTTTTATTTTTAGAGTCAAACTACAAAAATTTTGATTAACATTTTAAGATGTATTTTTTCATCATATTAATATGCAACTAATTGTAATTCATATTATTTTTCATATAGTTTTAGAATATTTAATTTTTTATTTAAAATATCAAATTAATATGATCCAATTTATTTTTGAAAATTAATCAAATTAACTTACGATAAACGCGACATTACAATAATTCTGAACGGAGGAAGTATCAGTTAAAATCATCATTTAATTCCCTTACCCTAAATTATAGGATAATGTATTTTTTTATCCCATTTGTCCTATTAGTTAGAATTCTCATTTAATTCCCTTACCTTTGTGAAATTGGGAATCAATATCAATTAAAATCATCATTTAATTCCCTTACCTTTATGGGATTGGAAATTAATATTTTTTTTTATGAAAAATTTATTTTGACATTAAATTGACAATTAAAAATGGATAAAATCATTGCATTTAAATTTAAAATGTCAAAGATAACCCTTAATTAACATGAATGTAGTATAACTTTCCTTTTTTTCTATACTTTTAAAATCTCTAAGAAATTGTAAGTGGAATAAAACTAAAAACGATAAATTATAGTGAATACAAAAATTAATTCTCCCATAAAATACTTTACAAATCACATTAACCATATATAAGTTAAACTTTAATAGGTGTGTTCAGATTTTTCAAATAATACTTTTCCAATTTTTTTATGTCTAGTCGAATAAAATATATAAAATTAATTTTTTCTAAAAAAACAAATTACTTAAAAAAGAAGAAGAAGAAATTGACTTTTTCAATACAAGTAGAAAAATTAAATTGACCTACCAAATTTATTGTCTCTTCTAGCCAAAGCTCACACATTAACCATCCCACCCCAAACCCCCCACTTTCCATTCATATTCCCTTTCAATTTTTTTTTTTGCCAAATAACGTATGAATATTCTTAAAATAATATTTTATTTCTTATTATCAAATACTAAAATATAACTAAAAGAACCAATTAGAAAATATTTATAGAAAATCATTTTCCTTCGTTCTTATGTCAATATGGGCTAGCACACCATATTCGGGCTAATCCATACAGACTTTGATATTTTAGGGGTCAGGCCGGGCTAGCCCATTTTTGGTGTGGGCCAAAAAATAATCAGCCCAGCCCACCAGTACGTGGGCTACAGGTTTGCCGGGACAGCCCATTTTTTAAAAAATTATATTATTTTTTAAAATTATTAAATTAAATTATAAATTACAATTTAAAAATATTATCATAAAAATAGACAAAAAAAAATTACATTATGTTAGGCCTCATTTGTTTGCACTTAATGGGGTTTGAATGTTAATCATTCAGATTTGCCTTAGTAAATGTATTTGTTTTTAAAAACTGGATCTTAATTATTTAGATTCAATTCATTAAGTTGGTTTGTTTTATTTTCTTATAAGCCTCTTAATGGGTCTGGATATATCTGAATGAATAAGATCTGTAAGACACCCTTAACACTATTCAGACTAAAAAATAAGACTTTTATCTTAATTCAACTAGATCACAACAACTCATAAAGTTGTTTTATTTTAATTAATCACATGCTTGTCATTATAATTTCTTTATTCATATTAACTTACTATATATCTTTTAATTTCATAAATTAATCAATATATTTGAATTGATAAGCACTTCATGATATAATATTTAGCACGGGTTAAAAAAATAAGAAAGTATTAGTTATTTGATCGTTAGCAATAATAAATTTCTATGATAAAATA